TGGTACAGGGTCTCACTATACAGCTCAGACTCATGGTGATCCTCCTGTTTTCAGCCTCCCCAGAGCTGGCATTAGAAGCACGTGCCATCATGCCCAATCTTGGTTGCAAGCTCAGTACACCAAGGGGCAGGGCTGGTATGGCATGTAGTACTGAGGATCAAACCTGGTCCCTGCACTTGCCTAAGCAGGCACTTACTCTGCTGAGCTATCTCACAGGCCCATTATAAATATTTAACCTTGAGACTAGGGAGATAGCTTGGTGGTCTAAGCACATGCCTGGCATGAACAAGGACCTAGGTTTGATCCCTAGTACTGCACCAACCTGGAATCCTAGGTGTGCAGTGCTGGCCACTGAAATGGGGCACGGTGGCACACACCTATAATTCCAGTGCTAGGGAGGCTGAGACAGGAGGACCAGTAGGAGTCTAAGCTGCATAGCAAGACCCTGTACCAAATAAAGAAATAAATGATTTTTGAAAAAATTAATCTTAAAGTGATACTGTCCTTTCCAAATATAATAAGAAATTCCAAGCTGGGTATAAAAAATAAAAATTAAAAATAAAAATAAAAAAGCCAGGCATGGTGGTACATGCCTGTAATCCTAGCACTCAGGTGGCTAAGGCAGTAGAATCCCTGTGAGTTCAAGGCCAGCCTGGTCAACATAGTGTGCTTAAGGCCAGTCTGCATTACACAGAAAAACTCTGTCAAAAAAAAAGGAAAAAGAAAGAAATTCAAAAGTTACCAGCAAAAAAGTGATATAGTAATATACCTGATGTCTTGGTTACTTTTTTTTCCTCTTTGCTGAAACAAAATGCAGTCAGAAGTTAAAGAAAGGGATGGTTTATCTACCCACAGCTTATAGAGGTTTCAGACCATAATTCACTGGCACCAAGGCAGAGTCATCCCCAAAGAGAAACAGTTTAGGGAAGGAAAGTGGTAACAAAGCATTAAGGGAATCCCATAGCACTTTCTATCACTTATATGTTATACAAGCTATTTAGGGCGGGTAACATTCACACCCTTAATCCTAGTGCTGTTGATTCTAGCATTGTACCACAAATCAATCCCAGAGTCACACACTCTAGATTCATCCACCCCTGAAAAAGCCCCATCAATTACCCTATAATAGCAGGCTTTGTGGGGACATTTAAACACAGCCATAACATTGCACCCCTGACCCCCAAAGATTCATGCACATCCTTCTATGCAAAATGCATTTAGTCCATCTCCAAGAATTTCCAAATATCTAATAGTCTCACCATTGCTGAAAACTCCAAGTCTAAAGTCTCCTCTGAGATGTAAAGCAAACTCTTAGCTGTGAGCCCCTGCTCTAATGAGGAAAGTTAAATACTTCCAACATTCAATGGCACAAGATAAATATTTTCATTCCAAAAGTTATATACAGGGAGATAGCAAGGAATGGGAACAAAGCAAGACCAGATCCAGTACAACAAACATTAAATCTCACAGTTTCTCTTCCAGCATCCTTATCAATCTGTGGCAAGTTGTGAATACCAAAGGGCTTGGGTGACACTGCACCTATGGAACTGCTGGTGGCAGCAGTTCTTGGGGTTTCTCCCTTGGGCTGTTTCTACTCTTTCTATGTAGCTTTCCTCAGATGATCCACGTTCCTGGCTTCCACAACCTTCTGGGGTCTCCACTGCAACTTCAGTTTCACACTCACAGCTCCACACACTGCCTTGCCTCCTAGGCCTTTTTCTGAAATCTAGGTGGAAGCCTTTTTGACTCCACAGCTCTGGAATTCCGCATGCACCTAAAACTAGTGCCATGTGGCTAATGCCAAGATCTGTTGCCAGCAGGAGCCGTAGCCAGGCTTCCTTCTGTCTTGGCTGCAGGAGTTGAGTGCCTGGATCTCTAAGCACTCTGAATCAAATTCTGAGGAACAAATTCTCTAGGACACCATCATTCTGGAACATGGTCCTCTGCAACTTCTCAAAGCAAACTTTTTCACTTTCAAAATTTTGAGGCTGCAAAGGACAGAGTCCTACTGCTTTTGTGAAGCCCTCAGGCCATCTTTTTTATTCATCTGTTCCTTCTCAGCAAGCAGATTTCCTCTACTTTATCTTTGCAATCCACGACTTTACTAGAGCTTCCTTTCTGACCAAACTCACAATACTCTAAGTCATTCTACAGGTCTCTTTGCTCTTGATTCTCAACATAGATCTGGCTTAAAGCACCCAATAGTAGCCATCAACATCTTCAACATTAGAATGTCTTGAAATTTCTTCTGCAAGATTAATTAGTCTGTCACAATTAATCTTAGTATCAGGAAAAGTCTCTGCATATGAGCAAGATACAAACTCTGCTAAAGTCCAATAACCAGTGCAATTCTTCCCAGCAGAAACCTCCTGAGCCTGGTCTTTACCAGCAGATTTTCCATCAACCTTCTGATCTTCTGAGCTCTGAATAGAATCTCCCATACAGAACAGCCTAAGGCATTCCAGCTCTACTTTTTCACCTGGAATCTCCAAATTTTTCCTAACTCTTCCCACAAGTGAGTCCCAAAGACTTGAACCACATGGCCAGGTATAGGCACAGCAATGACCCCATTTCTCTGTTACCAAATTCTGTCTTAGTTACTTTTCCCTCATTGCTAGGACAAAAAAACCTGACACCCAAAGTTAAAGGGGGGGCCAGGGAGATGGCTCAGTGGAATAAGCGCTTCCCTGGCAAGTGCAAGGGCCTGAGTTCAATCCCCGGTTCCACAAAAAAAAAAAAAAAAAAAAAACAAAGTTAAGGGGAAAAGCATTATTTAGCTCATAGTTTCTAGAGGTTTCAGCCCATAATCAGCTGGCTCCAAGGTATAATTGTACATGGTTGTACGGAGTGGCTGAAGCTGGAAAAAAATCACAAGTACAGGGCTAAGACAAAGCCAGGCTGAGAACATGAGGAGCTCTCCAGCCATGTAAACAAGTTGTTACAGCTTGCAAGCTGGTTGTTAGGCAGAGAGTTGAAATTGACATCAACCTTCCCAGTGCATAAATAAGCTCTACAGTTTTTGAGCAGTTCCATTTCACCCTGGAGAGTGGCCTCCACCTGACCTCAGCTTTAATATCTTGTCTTATTTTCTAAAGCCCCTTACCATTTTCCCAGGGACTATTGAGAGCTGCATGGGTTATGGCACATGGCAGACAGATACCTCAGAGTAGAAACAGTTTATGGCAGGCAGAGGGTAGCAAAGCAACAAGATGACCACACCTCTTTCTATCCCTTATATCTTATCCAGGATACATGAAGAGGGAGCACTCGCACCTTTAATCCAAATGTCCTTAATTTTTTTTAGCATTGCACTATGAATGAGTACCAGAGTCACACACTCTAGATCCATCCACTCCTAAAAAGACCACACCTATGACTCTATGAGGCTTTGGGCAGACATTCCAGCACAAACCATAACACCTGGCTATATGAAAATTAGAAATATTTATAGATTAGAAAAAAGTTGTCAGTTGTGGTAACACACACACACACACACACACACACACACACCCCTATAATTCCAGCACTCAGAAGGCTGAGGCAGTTGAATGACTGTAAGTTCTAGGCAAGCCTGGGTTACATAGTGAATTCAAGGCCAGCCTGAACTATATAGTGAGACTCTGTAATATCCCTCTTCCTTTAAAGAGTGGAACTGAGGATGTAGCTCAATGTTAGAGCATTACTAAATTCAATCTCCAGTAATCCAATGAAATAGTTTAAAAGACAAAGGAGAAATAGAAAAAAAAACATTCATTTAACTAACCTACATCAAAAAATGTAGGACTAGTAATAGTATATGAAAGGCTGAGGCAAGAGGATCACAAGTTTGAAGCCACCCTGGACAATTTACCAGGTCTCTTTCTCAAAATCAAAAGGGCTGGACATTTAGCTTACTGTGAAGGATCTGCATCCAAACCTCAGTACTACAAAAGAAAGTATATGAAGTGCTCCAATAAATAAATAAATAATAAAAGATAATCAGAGCATCACAAAAATAAGAACAATATATAAACAGGAAACTTGCAAAAAAAGAAATTAAGATGTTTAGCAAATACACGACACTATGTTCAACTTCATTAATTAACTATTAATTAAAAATGAAATTTCAAACAAAAGTATTCATCGTATCATAAAGATGAAAAACAATATTCAGCAGTTTGTAAGAGAAATAAGTCTCTAATCATTCATGCCACACAACTGTTCTCATTAGGGCCAGGGAGATGGCTCAGTAGAATAAGTGCTTCCCTGGCAAGCACAAGGGCCTGAGTTCAATCCCCACTTCCACCAAAAAAAAAAAGTTCTCATACATTTAAAAAATGTATATACATGTATATACACAGTTGATAATTGCAGTCCTGTCTGTAATAGCAAAAGATGAGAAAAAAATTAAAGTGTGCATTCATAGAAGTTTGAAAAAAAAAAAGAAGTTTTACTAAGTAAAATACAGTAAACTCATACCCATAATCACTGAAGAGAATGATGTGATTAGGTAACTAAGCAATTAAGAGAATTTCCACTTTATAGATATATTGTACGTGAAAATTTTTCTTTCTTTTTAAAAAAAAATTTCTTGAGAGAAAGAAAATCATTTGGAATTTTCTTATAAAGTTAAATATGCATTTATTATGTAAGTCAGTCCACCTACTCCTGGGTATAGCACCTATTAAGAGAAAGATAAATTTCTAAGGCATTACACTAGATAAAAGAAGTTAGTCTCAAAAGGGGACATCTAATTCATGTATATGATAACCTTGAAAAAAATAAAAACTGTAGGAAAAGAAAAGATCAGTAGTTGAAAAAGAAGAAGACCTGATTACAAAGGGGAAGCAAGAAGGAATTTTTTTTAGCAAGTTGAACTATATCCTGTTGGTGATACTAGTTACAAGAATATAAACATGTGTGAACACTCATAGTACTATATGCCTGAACATAAATTAATTTTATTGTACATAAATGGAAAGCATTTACTAGAAAGAAATGGTAATCAGCAGTAGTGATACCTTCTATTTCTCGGTCTAGGGGAGGAACATCATCTCTCATGGAGAAATCCATAGCTGTCCCTGGTATGTCCATCAAGTCTTCATCACTGGAGCTGCTATGAAAGCTACTAAAACTTCCCTGCTGAAAGCCTCTGTTATCCATGGCTCCTGTGCAGAAGAAAAACAGAGGGATTACAGCAATGACCTCCCAACTACTCACCACTTTGACTCCCCCTATATACCGTTTGAATGATTTTAAAGTGTCCAATTCAGTAGCATTGAGTACATATGCAATTTTGTCCAACCATCATCACTATCCATTTCCAGAACTCCTACATCATTCCAAACAGAAACTGTATATCCAGGAAACAGTACATACCTCAGCCCTTGGTAACCTCTATTGTACTTTCTGTCTCTATAGATTTTATGACACTGGGATTTCATATAAATGGAATCATTCCGCGTGCTTGATTTCTCTGATTTACCATGTTTCAAGGCTCATCCATATTGCACAATATATCAAAATTTAATTCTTTTTTTTCCATCCATAGGAATAGAACCCAGGGCCTTTACACAGGATAGCAAATGCTCTACCACTGAGCTATACTTCCAGTCATTTTTATTTTGAGACATAGTCTTACCAAGTTGCCCAGATTGGCTTCAAACTTTGATCTTCCTGGCTCAGCATCCCAGATTGTGGTGAGGCTATAGACATTACATACATGTGTTACAAAAGTTGGCTTTTTTTTTCTTTTTGAGATATGATCTTGTTATACAGTCCAGGCTGAACGTGATCTCACTTGTAGCCAAAGTTGGCCTCAAAGTTACAATACAACTGACTCACCTTCCAGAGCACAGCACCACTATGCCCAGCCAATTTTTCCAACATTTGTATGCCCTGGCATTATAGCTCCGAGTGCAGATGAGGAAATTAAATTCAGAAAGACTAAGTAACTTGCCCAGTTAATTCTTTTTTCAAGTTAATCCTGAAATCATGAGCCCAATTTCATAATATCTCACTTGTGATATAGTGAACAACCTGATGTCTAAGTGGAACTTATATTTGGGAACCATTACTAAGTATGGCTCATTGTGTGACAGTGAAACAGATAAAGAAATGATGCTGTGTAGGCCAGATGAGGTGAAGACCGGGAGGCAAAGATTTGAGAATTAACAACATCAAGGTAGTGGTTGAAACCAAGAGAATAGATACTCCAAGAGAACTATTTGTGTTCTTAGGGGTAAGAATGAATACAATTAAAAGATACGCATTTTTCCTATCCTATAGTATATACATATAGCTTCTAGTCTATGCAAACATGAACAAAATAATAGCTTACACCATTTTTTATTATATATTGTAAGGAAGGGCAAGGGTCACAATTATGCCAATGTATAAAATTATTGATCATAACACCATTTTTCTCAGGTACAAAAGGCAAACTTGCTGTGTGGATTATTAAGTTGGTCTTAGGATACCATGCATCCAATTTTTGAAACCTTGGTGGAGTTCCTTTCTTGCAACCAACAATCCATCCTTGCTGGAGTTTTCCTCCTTCTCTATTCTGCTTCCTTCTCCCCTCCTCTGGACAGCAACGCCTCATTAATGAAATTTTTTGAATTCCCTGTCTCAGCTTTCACTTCTAGGGAACTGGGCAAAACACAGTACTAGTAGCAGAGGGTTTTTTTTTTCTTATTATTAACAACACATGCAAAATCTTAGTACTCTCTGTCATCACTTTTGTCATCCAGAAAAAGTACTTTTACTCTTTGTCTATTCTTTCATTCTATATTGATATTGGTGAAATTGTTAAGAGTGATTCTGTAAGAATCTTCACTTTGAACTTTAGGACACATGCTAGCTCATTTAAGTTTATTTCCTTTAAAAAGATGAAAATATTGGGGCTGGGGAGATAGCTCAGTAGAATAAGTGCTTGCCTGGCAAGCATAAGATCCTGAGTTCAATCCCCAGTACCGCAAAAAAAAAAAAATAATAATAATAATATTTTGGCTATTTTACAAATAACTGCACCCTCTAGCAAATACTTCAACATTTAGGAAGGACATAATTAGCAAGCATTGTTGGGTAATACTCATATAACATAACATTTAGATGTACTATTAATAGCACCCCACAGAATCACATGACAAAACTGCCAACTTACAGGCTTATTTCACTGCTATTGCTCAGAACACTACTGGATTTGTGTAAAGTACACTATGCACATAAACATATTAGCATTTATTTTACTTATAAGAATGACTCACTGTTAGCAGCACACACATATAACATGAAGCAACTACAACTGAGGCTAAGTATTTAAATCATGACTTTTTCCTCTTATAAGATGCTGTCCTTCTTTCTGAAAATGCAGTCCTTTATCTTTGAATGTCCTCGGTTTGGTTTGGTTTGGTTTGGTTTGGTTTGGTTTGGTTTGGTTTGGTTTGGGTTGGTTTGGCTTTGCTTGGCTTTGCTTATGGTAATGGGGATAGATCTAGGGTCTCATGCCCGCAAGACAAGTGCTCTGCCACTGAGCTAGATCCTTCATCTTTCTGTCAGTGCTTTCTACTCTTCACACTGAACTCGATATCAGTGTATTCTTTCAAACCATCAACATGACTATATTGATTTCTAATTTTCTTTCCACTCCCCCAACTTCTCAAGTGGTACTGAACAGGATTCAAAATTAAGGAAAAGGCAAATTTTCTTAAAAGTGATGGAGGAATGCCCATATAAACTCGCTACCTGGAACAAAATTTCTATTTTGTATGTTTGCAATATGTACAATAATTACACTCATCTTGAGGAAGTGGTACATATACATATTGAGTCTTGGTCATTTTACTCTCCCTTTTCCCCCAGATTGCTTCTATCTCCAAGAAGTCTACTTTCCTACTTCTTGATCTTATCTCTTTTAATTTTCTCATTAAATTATTTGTACTCTTGGGTCTCTCATATTAGAGAAACAATGCAATATTTAATCTGCATCTGATTCATTTTATTTATTAAGATACATCTATTTGGCTACAAATGATTCAAATTTATCTTTTATGGCACAGTAGTACCCAAACATATAGGCCACTTCCAAGATTTAGCTATTATAAGGTCAGAGAGATGGCTCAGTAGCATAAGTGCCTGCCTGGCAAGCACAAGGTCTCAAGTTTGATCCCCATTACTGCCAAAAGAAAAAAAAGAGTTCCACCAAGATTTAGTTATTATGAATGGTGCTTCTATAAATATGAGTATTCATGTATCACTATAATATGATATCTTTAACTTTTTGAGGAAGATACCCACAAGAGGTATAGCTCTGTCAAGTAGAATTCTTCTTCTTCCTCCTCTTCCCCTTCTTCTCCTTTTTTAGAGACAGGGTCTCTATGTAGTGCAGTCTGTCCTTGAACTACAGCCAGGCTGGCCTCTAATTCACAGGGATCATCCTTCCTCAGCCTCCCAGAACTCAGGGTGGGATTACAAGCATGCACCACCATGCCCAAATATCAAGAGGAATATCTATTTTAGTTTTTGTGGAATCTCCATATTTATTTCCACAGTGGGTCTATGAGATTGCATTCCCAGAAACAATGAAGAAAGGTTCCTTTTTCTCCCTCAACCTTGCTAGCATTTATTGTTTTGTTTTTTTTTTTAATTTTTTTTAAATTTTTTTATTTGAGAGAGAGAGAGAGAGAGAGTGTGTGTGTGTGTGTGTGTGTGTGTGGTGTGTGTGTGTGTGGCCACCTCAGCCCACCAGGGGGCGGGGCTGCGGGGCTGGCTAGCATGTGGTGCTGGGGGATTGAACCGTGGTCCCTGATGCCTTGCCAAGCTTGTTCTAAGTAGGTGCTTTAGACCACTGAACCATCTCTCCAGCCCCACTAGCATTTATTGTTTTTGAGTCCTTGTTAAAAGCCATTCTTGTTGGAATAAGATTGAATCACTGAGTTGTTTTGACTTGCTTTTATCTACTGCCCAAAGTTGCCAGGCATTTTTATGTATTTGTTGGCTACTTTTCCTGTTTCTGAGAAATGTTTATTCATAAATACCTTTCAATAATGATGTTCAATGTAAATGATCCAAACTTCCAAATCAAGATATACAGACTCATAGATTGGATCAAAAAATAAAACTCACAAGGTGTAATGGCACATACCTACAATCCCAGCACTCAGGTGACTGAGGCAGGAGGATCATTCAAGTTCAAAGGCACTGTGGACTATATAGTGAGTTCAAGGCCAGCCTAAACTACATACAAAAACCCTGACTAAATATTCAAAAACAAAAACAAAAACAAAACCCACCCTAAAACCCACTAAGGTGCTGCCTACAAGCAATATTTCACCTATAAAGAAACACACAGACTGTAGGTAAAAGGATAGAAAATGATACACCATGCAACAGGAGCCCAAAAGTAAGCAATAGTAGCTATCCTATTTTCTGACAAAGTGGACTTCATACTAAAACTCAATAGAAGAGACAAAGACAGTCACTACGTATTGGTAAAGGAAGGAATTCAACAAGAAGTGATAACAATTGTAAATATATATGCACCACATGCTGGTGCATCCAATTTCACAAAACAAAAAAGCTACTGGATAGAAAAGGTCAGATAAATATTAAAACAACCATTGCAGGAAACTTCAATATTGCACTCTTGCAAATAGGTAAACCAGACCCCCCAAAAAACCAAATATGTATTAGAGTTGAAATACACCACCAAACAACTGGCAGCGACAGAATACACAGTTTTCTAAGCAGTACATGGAACTTCCAAAGTAGACTATATCTTAATTCATGGTTTTACACTACAAAAGTCGCTGAAAGAAACAGCTCCCCGGGGAACTACCCGCTCGGAGCCCCCCTCCTGTCCCTCTCTCAGACAGGAGCTTTTCTTTCTCTTAATAAATATATTCTGCTCATAACCTTCATTTGTTCCTAAGAATATTTACTCAGTGGAATAAGCACTTCCCTGGCAAGCGCAAGGGCCTGAGTTCAATCCCCAGTATCAAAAAAAAAAAAAATAGATAGGAGGTGACATTGGGATCCAAGGTGCATGTATGTTGGTATTTATTGTGGTGCTGCTCTTTCCAAGCTCTTTCTGTGGGCATAGATAGAATATGCACATATACAAGTATATGCATGCTTTCATAAATATTTTCATCTTCATCTCCATATA